TTGCAGGGGATGCATCAACACCATGTCATCAAACAAGTGACAAGTTAACAGGGGACCTGTTGTATTGATTTTCACAGTGAATGAGAAGTAACTCAAATTAATAGCATTAATAAGATTTTTGCATATAGAGGACTGTCTCTTTTGAGTAATGAACTTAATTGCTATTTGGAGTTTGGAGAGAACTCTGTGGTCAATTTGTTACATCGTCCTAGATTTCTGGAAAATGAGATCAGATTTTCTGCTAGTATAATGGAGGAAGAAAGCAGTAAAGGAAAAGCAAAGTATTTTTGTGGTCAGAACAGAATGTAGGGTGTTTCTTCCTGATACTTAAGGAAAATGTTAAAAGCATTAAAATAAAAGACTACTTGCTTAAGCTTATTGTCTCTTCCACAAGTATGATCTAGCAATCCTCAAATGTCTATTACCATTTTGTTAAATAGGGAGATTTGCAGATGCAAGGATTGTGGGATGAGTGGAATGAAGCTTCCCAAAGTGGATGATTAGTAGCCTACCCTGAACTGTGGTGAGCAGTAGCCAAGACTATTTGTCATGACTTGGTGAAAGGATGTAAAGCCAGGTTTTGCCTCCTGCCATGTTTTCTGTTTTCCATCTCAAGAACTTCAACCTAAGAAAAGGACTTTCCTTTTTATCCTTGTAAGATTTCAGGTTTTCATTGTTGTTGGTGTTTGTTTGTTTGTTTGTTTTCCACAATCATTTTCCAGTACACCAAACTACATATTTACCTGTCTTTTTCTGGAAATGAAGTGTGGCAAATTGCTATTCCCCAAAGCCAGTTTTCCTCCAGAACAAAAGGTGATCTTTGTTCCCACTCAGCGTTGTTGGCAGGGGGTTCATTTCTTCCAGATGCTGACATTTTTAGAGACAGGTATCTAATGCCAGATATTTGGAACTTTGATGTTGTGACTTGCCAACTGGCCCATAAAAGTGTCCCGCTGCAGATGGTTAATGAGACCCAGTAAAAGATAAGACCAGAATTTTATGTTTTATTTCATTTTTTTTTTTCTGAGAAAGGTTAGGAAGTTGGAGGTGACTTCCCCATGTAATGCACCCTGCATGTTGATAGAGATAACTGCGAAGGTGACTGAAGGAGTTAGTGTTTCCCCTTTCTACAGTACCAGCTCAATATTTGCCAAGTTGGTTTTACCCTGTTAAAAACGGGAGAAGCTCCAAATGTTTGATGAATTTGGAATGAGCCTTTTATGTCCTTCAAGGGATTTGATTTTAGTGTGAAGAACTGTATGGGGATCTTGAAGTCATGTTATGTTTAGTTATTCTTGTGTCAACATCATCCATGCTTATTCTGTTGTTTTGACCAGAGTGATAGTTTTGTGTAAAATTCAGATTTGCAGACTGAACATCATTTTGTGTTAATGCTATTAGAGAATTTGAATGGATAAAAGGATGGAACAAAGATTTATTTTTCTTCCTTGTTCATACCTGGTGTTTACATGCTCTGGAGCCACCTGAATTTTTAAAGTCAAGACTATTAGATATTAAAGAATTCCTTAACCGGACGACAATAACTATCAATTCAGTTGGGCTGTATATGTTCCAGTCTTTCTCTCTCTTAATAATTACAGATATCTTGTTTCTGCATTGTAAGGCTGCCTTCAGCTGGCTGTGACTCAGATGCAGGTCTTCCAGATGTCAGTGCAGGATACTGTGATGAGATAGGCTTTACATCCTCCAAAGTTTAATCATGGAAAATGAAGATAGTATCTTGTTTTGGCAACGTACCATGGGCTCTGATTCCTGTTTTATTACATCTTACTTGCTGGACCATGGAAGAAAATGACTGTGTAAAAAAGAAAGGTGTTTCTTTTCTGCTAGCAAAATTGATGTGGAAAAAAAATTAAGAACAACACTGAATATATGTGACTAGCATAAAAAACAAGGGTTAAATGACTTATAATGATGGGTCACGATGAGAGATAATTGAAGGGATAATTTCCATATAATTTCTTTTCTGTTTCCATGTCATTTTTATGTGGACACCATCCATCCAAGTTCAGAAGCCCTCAATTTACTGTTAACAAATTGTTTTTAGCAACAGTGGAAATAACCAAAAAGGAGTAATATGAACTCTTTCCCCTTTAGGTAGAGCAGGAAAGTGTGACTCTTACTTTGCTTGAGATCCAGTACAGCGCTTCTTAAACTCTCAGGGATATGTTCACTTCAGCACCTTAAATATGCATAGTGAAGGATAAGAGGCATGTTAAATGGAATGTAGTAAAGTCACTGTCAAATGAATTGGCAGTGTTAGTGTGTGAGTGCATGTGTTTAAAACAGTTAGGTATAAATAATTAAATAGAGGTGGCAGTCATACGAAAAGCTATCACATCACTCTGTTATTCTGTAGAGTAATAGACCAGGTCTGGTGGCAGAGTCACTGCTCAGTTTTAAACAAGGAATTCAGCCTTCAGGCAGATTGAATTCTCACAGCACTTGGAATGGAGTTCCCCAGTTTTGCTGGTACTTTTGCATTTGTCTTATGTTCCCCAAACCCAAGAAACAAACAACTGCCCCCCCTCTTTGTGACATGGTGGAGTTAAGAGGAGATTTGGTTTGGTTTATCCATGCTTTCAGCTTGGCTCAAGTAAACTCATTCGGGACTGATCACTAGAAGTATTCTGCAGTTACTCAGTATCTCTAAAAGCCAGTCTTGCAGTAAATTGTGTTCTAGATCTTTCAGGGTGCTCTGTTCAGCTAAACCACACAGAAATCAGATGCTGTGTTTGAATTCCAAGTGCAAATGTCCAGTGGGAAAGGTACAAGAAATATTCCTCAGTACTCAAGCTTGTTCCTTTTTTTTTTTTTTTCCCCAACAAGTACCAGATAGCTGATGGGTGACAGAAAGGTTTTATCAGTAATTGTTATATTTACCTGGCTTATGTGTTCATCAGTGTTTTGTTCCCTCTGTTGATGAATCCTTTATAACCAATCATGTTGTTTGTAATGTGTATGTGTTACTATAAACACATATCTTGTGCACAGTGTTCATGTTGTTTTCTCCAGAAGCATTATGACCTTCCAGCACACCCTGTGTGCTTCTACCACAGATGTTTGAAGAGGTGGAGCTGGCATCTTGATATTAGGCATCCTGTTGCATGCTGTACAAATTGAAGGTGCTACAAACCAAACTGTGGATGGTAGTTATTTTGTGGGAGAGAATCCAAGACTATAGTTTAAAAGACAAACCAAAGCATAAAGGGTGTGCTTTTGCTTTTATCCTGGTACAAGTATTTACCCCAACTTCTGCAAAAGCAGCATAAGGAAGAAATTGTCTTGGTGAATCTGTGCAACAAAGTGTAGATGTAATAGTGACATGGCTGGTGTGTCCCTGCTACCTTTAATCCCAGTAGCACAGTTAGTGCATGCTCTGAAGAAGCAATGGTGTGGGCTAGCGACAGGGTATGTACACAAGGCTGCTGTGCTGTTATATACTGTGTGTTAGCTTGTGATGAAGTGGCTGCTGCTTGCTTTCTGTTGCTGCTATGGTTACCTGTCTTAGCCATATAAATGCTGTTATGAGTGTGTCTGCCATGGGACCTTGCACTTTAATTTTGCTGATGTCCCATCATTAACATCTCAGACTGAACAGACAGGGAGTAGATGAAAGTTTAAAAAAAAAAAAAAAGAAAAAAGATTGCTTACTTTAACATTCTTTAGTGGTGTAAAGCATCCATGAATAATGCTGCACAGAAGGGGATATTGTCTTTTAAACAACTGGTTTCTTGGACTGTTTGCTCTTTCCTTCTTTCTGTACACTGAATGAGAGAGGCTCTGCATACCACAAAATTGAGCTTCACTGGATGTACAAATATGACCATAAGTGGGAACAGGTTGAGGTGGCCTTAAGGTTCACTGAATAGTCATTTCCGTGCATTCATTGTTTGTGGAAGCATGTGTAGAGAGCACGAAGTCAGAACAGCCCAGTAGTGATGTGCTCTCTTCTAGCCTTTATGCTGTGGAAGGGGGAGAGAGAGGATGTGGATGTAGTGTTTTGAGTATAACTGTATTGCAATAGGCAGATGAGTATTTGGAATTTATGCTGCAGAATTTTGGTTTTGTGAGACCTGGTGCCATTGTGTTCCTTTATTTTCTGTGTAAGATTTAAAAAGCAAGAACTGTTATATTCAAAGAAAGCATAAAGTACTGTCATGATAAGACATGCCCAACTCCTTGCTTTTAGGTGTAGTTCTGTAGTATCTTCTATTTGCAAATGCTGGTAATTTACAGGAATGGTAAATAAGTAGATAAATAATATTTATTTATTTATGCTCCAAAGAACTAAACTTAAGTGAATCCAAGTATTTAAATAATTACATTATTGTATTGCATTGCTGCAGTTCCTTGATTTCAGTGGTGCAGGCAGTAATATAGCCAACTAGCCTTTAATAAAAGTGTTTGATTGAACAGCACCATCTTGGATGTAGTCCACCAGAATAAAATCCATATGGGGCTCTACCATCTCATTAAACATATTGTAGATGTATTTTGACAAGAATGGTTGAAGCCAACAACCTCTGGACAGCCAGTGTGTCCAAGTGTAATATATCCTCCTGTCCTGGATTGATAGTTTCAGATAATCCTCTAATCCAAGTGATTGCTAATATGTTGTTGACTATTTAGCTTTGCGTGGTCTAGGATGACATGCTGCTGGAGAGCTCAGAGTGAATTAAAAATAATAATAAAGGATGGCGGATGAATAAATTAATTAAACTCCATCTGTCTAGGGCCCAGGCTGGTCTGCTTCCTGGCCTCTGCCTTGCACCAGGAGGGCAAAGAGCGGTGGAGAGTCACCACTTGGGCTCACAAATGAGAGTTCAGAGAAACAAAGAAAAATTAGTTTCTCTCTTTTTTTTTTTTTTTTTGCCCTTTCCTACCTCTGCTCTTTATTGTTCTGAGAATGGAGAGACTTCTCCTCCTCCACCTCCAAGAATTAAAATATTTTTTTTTGTTTTTCTCTTCTCTTGCAGATCAATTTTGTAGCCTGTCAACTGTTTGCCCTTTTGGCTGCCTTTTGGTTTCGTATTTACTTGGGTCCCAGTCATGCCAGCTCTGCTGTTCGCCATGCATTTGCCACCCTCTTTGGAATATACTTTGCTGTCTTCTGCTTTGGGTGGTGAGTATTTAATCACCAAGTAGACAAGGCTTGCGTGAAAATATTTTTAAACTCCGTATCAGCTTTTCTGGATATCTTTTTTATTAATCTTAAGACACTTTCTATTTCACAATCCTTTAAAATTAAAAAAAAAAAAGGGGGGGGAGGTGGCGGAAATTCCTACCAGCATAACCACCCCAAGCCCTCAGAGTAAAATGAGCCATGAAAACATTTGTGAGTGAGGTATTTAATCTGTGATGTATTTGTTCTGGCAGTTAAAGCCATAGTAGTATGCTGTGAAGATAGCTTGTTTGGAAAAGATGCATCCAGTTTGAAAGTACACTTTGAGCTAGGCAGCTTTTTCTCTGAATCAAACACACTGACATCTTGTCAATAAGTGTTAATTTTAATTGGATATCCAGGCTATAAAAATGCCATTGTGATAATCCATGTTTACTGCATCAACACACATTTATGTCATTCACGTGAGAAAATATTCCCTTGCTCTGAACTTCCAACCCCTGAAGGTCACAAAGAAATCACCTAAATATTCACTTTGTTGTCTTCAAGGTATTCCATTCATCTTTTTGTCCTGGTGATGATGAACTATGGCATTATGAATACGGCGAGTATTCCCAACATCCACAGGTGAGCGTTTGTGGCCACAAGACTGGAGCTGTTCCTCTGGGCTTCTCTCCTTTCATCGAGAAGCATGAGGTTTTTTTCCAGTACCACTTCATCTTATTTCCTTACTTTCTTTCCCAGTTACTTGTAGGGGCTTTGTCCTTTTAGTTACAGAAGCAGCTGTAATCCCAGCTTGTGGTTTTTGCCTTGATATATTGCATTTCCCTATGAAATTGCTGGCCCCAAAAGTAGTCTTTTGCAGGCTTAGCATTTTATGCCCAATCCCGTGGTTTCTTGAACATAATGAAGTCATTTTCTCCTTGGTATTGTGTCCTTGAGGATTGCTTTAAATAATCATTTTTAATGGGTTTTCCCCCTTGCTGCTTGACCTTTAAGTATTTTCCACTTATTCTTGAGTTAGGTAGTTCAGTTAGGGTCATTGTGGCAGCTTAACTTAGTGATCTGTGAAATAAGTCTTGTATTAGGTGCTGGGCTTGGAGCTTGAAAAAGTAGAAAGTTCCACATGCTTTATTACTTTGAAGCAGAAGCCTACAGCAGCATCATGAGAAGTTCTCGACTATGGGATCTTTCCTTTCCCTGTACAGATGTCTTGGAGGAAGACACATAAGCCACATAAAGGGCTCTATCAAGTGAGTGCCTTCCCAGCTGAAAGACAGAAAGCACTCATGAAAATGAAAACTATGTGGAAGTTACATCTGCTGCTTTCACTGAATAAGAGGAAATTCCTGTGAAGGAACTCCTCTGCTCAGTCATTTCGCCTTCTCATGTGGGTGCCATACTCTTATAGCAAGCAAGAATTTTAAAAATTGTGTAGGCAGAGTTATTTGCTTCCCATCAATTTGCATAATTGGGAAATTTTATTTGTAAAACTGCTACTTTATAGCAGGCTAGAGGGATGAGCTGGCAGTTCTTCCCACTACTTTACTTTTGTGCTGGCATCCCTAAGAGTACTTGGTTCACCCTGTGGTTTGGTTTGGGTGTGTTACAGGTGGTTTTTCTCTGTGGCTCTTTCTGCAGCTGCTGATTAAATCAGCATGCTGAATTCACATCAGTCTGAACTGGGGATCCGAAACTCTTTCTTCACTTGTCTTCAGGGTCATGGCTGTCTGAGGATCTAATGCTCAGATCTCCCTTTCTTCTTTACCACTTCTTGAGGCAACCCCTCTCTGATATCCAAATGGGAAGCATAATTTATGATTTGTCGAGGATTGCTTAGAAATGTGAATGAGAAGCAACAGGCCTGTCTTACAGCAGTTACTAGCATTTTGCACTAGCACAATAATGTTAATGAAGAAGGTTTATTTTATTTGTTTGTTTATTTATTTTTCTCCCAGCCCATCACAGAGTATGAAGGCAAAGCCCAGAAGTCCAGAGATAATTAATATATTTTTTCAAAGTAATTGGACAATGTTTGTGACAGAAATGCCATCCAGAGGCCAGAAGGAAAAGTTGTTAAAAATGTGTATTATTTGTCTTCCAGTCATTATCTCTGTCCATCCCTTGAAGAAATGCAGGAGTAACTCATAACTGTGAGAGAGATGAACTGTAGGAACCAAGACTACGCAGGGAGTCATCTAATGCTTGTATCTTCCTAGGCAAGGTGGAGTGGTAGTAGGAAATTGTCATGGTTTCATCAGGAAACCCCCTCACTCTTGCTGTTTAGCCACTTAGTCACAATGGGAAAAACACCTTTACATTGGAATAGAAACTGAGCCAGTTTGCATAATGTCACCTACTACAGCGAGATAGTCATGTGTGTACTTGAGTAAATGTGAAATAGTAATTCAACATGCTGAAAAATCTTAGGACGGCTGGGAAGATTGGGTTAGGTCTTTTCTACTGTATTTCACTATACTTGAAGCACATACACATTACTAATTTTAACAAAATAACTGTATTCAAGCAGCTTAAGAAACTTGAAAACATCAAGTGTAACAGCTGGACCTGTGTATGCAGAAGGCCTCTGAGAATGATGGGACCTTTGTAGTGGGAGTCCAAGAGTTGCTCTCACCCCCTCTTCTCTCCCCAAATACAAGTGGGAGTGAACAAAAAAAATAAAGCAACAACGTAGTTTAACCTGCACGCACCTTTCCATGGTTATTTTCAGCTGGTATGGTCTCTTGTGAGGCTGCCAGCTTTCAAGACCTATAAACTGACAAATTAGTATAGCATCAGAAACACTCCCAGCTGCAGCAGCAACTCTGTGTGTCTCTTTCTGCACACCCCCATTTCAATCTAGGTGCTTTACACTTATGCACTGAGGCTTATTTTAGACACTTCATCCCATCTATCACGGTTATGTATCTTGGCTGGGTGACTTGCCATTCTCAGTTGATGAGAGGGAGCCCGAGGACCTCACTGGACTGGATGTCTGACTGAGATAAAGTAAGATAGATTCTGCTCTGAATCGCCTGAAGAAGCTGTCATGTCCCCTCAGCCTGCCTTTCATCCTGCTGTTTGCTGCGACCACGTGCACTGCAGGTTGTCTTGTGATCCTTGGCTTCAAACACATCACTGTCACTCACACTACAGTTTATTAGTCCCCAGGGAGGGAAAAAAAAACTAATTTCTTTTAAAGCCAGCCATAATTTGAGAAAGGCCTGGCTCATTTTCAGTCATCTGCCGACTGTGGTTCTTGTTTGATTTCATCTTTAGTTCCCTGCTCTGCCCCATCCTATTCTGTGTCTGGTGGGGGAGGACACTGCCTGAGGCTAGGCTCTGCTGGGTGTGCAGGATGGGCAGTCTCTTTCCTCTGTAGGTCTTTGTGTCTTCTTCTTTGGCTAGCCTCTCCTGATGCAGGGAACTCCAGCAGGCCTGGTCGTGGCCAATCTCAAGTCCATGGGATATAAGCCTTTCATTCTGGTGTCCCAGCTCACCGTTGCACTGTCTGGTTTGCTTCATTTGCCAGTCTTGTTTCCAGATGTCCACCTGCTTCTCACCTTCCTGGTGTCCTCTTTCTTGCTTGGGTAAACACAGGAAGAAGTTAGTTGTGAGAAGTGCAACACCTGGCCCACCTGGGTGCTGCAATGCTTCCAGACCTCAGACCACGCAAGTCACATGGTAGACAGTGTCACGCTGCTCTCCTGCCTGCCAATTTTGGGGTCATCTTGGAAAATGGAGAGTGCATTTGTCAAGCTCCATGTAAGGAATGCTTCTTCTGGAAAGTGGCATAATTTGGCATTTAGAACTGAAAAGATTAGGCTATGCATCATTATCTGCCTTTACACAGAATCAGAAGAGAGAAATTATCTTAAACTTGAAATAATATAGTTTTTTGTAGGTCAGTAAGAGTTGTATGTGTAAATAAAGGGCATGTACAGATAAAAAAGGCAATGGATAACTTCAACACGTGCGACATCATCTGGTTTCAATACATCAAATACATGAGTGAGACAAATTTCAAAACAACATGCTAGAGGGGGAGCTCTGAAATTGGAATGCCCAACTTGAAGTGATCATATATTTATTTATTTATTTATTTATTTATTTATTTATTTATTTTTCCTACCCACAGTGTGAGGAGGCATCTCTGTAATTGTTCAGCTGGGTTGAAATCCTTAGAAATCCTCTTGTAAATTTTGTGAGATCTTGAATCGTAGATTGGGACTTGTAAACAACATAATTTGCAAAAATGAAGCCACACTCCTAAACAAGCCCAAGCCCAGTCTGAGTGATTCCTTTTCTTGTTGGTACTTGTGTCGGTAACTATGTGTTCTGTATGTTATGTTTTTAGGTACTCCTTTGTCGTAGCTATGGGATACCTCACGTTGTGCCACATAAGCCGAATATACATATTCCACTATGGTATTCTCACTACAGATTTTTCCGGGTGAGTGAGTCTGCAGGCTGGGTCCTGCATCAATTAATATTAGATGAATTTAGTACATTTTATGAATAATATCGATGTTATCTGGGGAGCGCCCACAATTCTGTTTGGCTTAAGCTTTCTCTAAGACCTTTTTAAAGGAGGAAGGAACAAACACTGTGTTTTTTTTTAGTGACTCATTGCTTCTGCTGTTTCCCTGCTAGGTGCTACCTGGTTAGGAAGGTAGGTGGTGGTTCCCTCTCGAGCAGCCTGCTAGGACAGCTCTGCACAGTCTCTTGCAGGTGCTGGAGGAGCGAGCCAGCGAGGCTGGTGCTCTGGGTCCCTGGTGCTCAGTCCTGAGAGGTGGCGTGGACTGGGGTGGGCTTCCCTCCTCCCACTTTTCTGGGCATGGCCATTGGCTTGGAGCTGTCCTTTCCCCTGTTCCCATTTATCTACATCTGGGAAGGAGGCCAGGGATGGCATTGGGAGGGTGTTTTCCACCCCAGGGGCTCTAGCTGCTGGGAAGGGAGGCTTGGGGGGCGACTGGCTGGAGGAGCTGGGTAAACAGAGAAGAGATCAGCTGTCCATCTTTGTGCCCGTGGTATGGATTCTGTCCTTGGAGCAGGTTGTGGTTGCTGTTAAACAGCATAGCTTCCCAATATGCCGTGCATTTCTGTGGAACGGTGATGTTTATATGAACTGTTGGCTCTCTGACTTCCCTGACGCCGTAGAGGATGCTTTGCAAAAATATAGGCAGCTAATGTTGTATATTTTTTTTATGAGAGGAAGGCATATTTTCTGCATGAATTAAAAACTGTGCTAATCCATATTCCACTTGTTTAATTGAATGTCTGAGTACAGAGTAATTTTTAACATACCATGAAAAATCTCTGTAAACTGTCACAGTAAGTTATAGATGACTCTTCGAAGTCTCTGTTGTCTCACAGGCATAGAGTAGGAAACTACTGTGTGTGCATGTGTCTCTCTGTGAGGTGGTGCTGGGTTTAACTATTTAATTACATTTCTGGAAAAAAAAATGTCATTTTGGTACTCTTGAACTTTTTTTTAGAGGATGGGGTAGGAAACAGAACTCACACATTTAGAGAAATTTAGTTCTCTAATTTTTCTGTGGTTCTTGTAATACACAAAAGCATGTCCTGAATGAGTGTGGCATACCAAGAAGCCTATAAATGGGACTGGAATGTTATAGCTCTGTGTGTGTATGAGACAGAGAAAGCAATGTGAGAGAGCATGCTTTTCTGAATAGCGTGTTCAGAAATGCACTGTGAGGCATGTTAGCTGTCTCTTTCTGAAGACATTTAGTAAGGATCCAGCTGAGACTGGGGATGGCAGAAGAGGAATGGTAGTTGTTTTTATAAACTAGGTAGCATTTTCTTCCCTCATGGTGAAAAGGGAGCTACTCATCTAATGATGACCTTTCAGATAACAGTAGTGAAAGAATAATACCTGAACTTTTATTATTTGTTTTTGTCCTGATCCTTAAGATACAAACCAATTCTTAAACCAATCAAACACAAAACTGCCAAATAGGAAACAACTGGCAACTGTAGTACAGATGGTAACTACATCTTCATGGCACATTTTGAAAACAAAGAATGAAAATGAAAATATTGTAGTGGTATTAATAAAAACTTGCCATCTAAAGTGCTCAAACTGAGATCAGCTCCCTAAATCTCTTCCAACCTGTTTTCCTGAGCTGTGAACAATACATGCCCTCTGAGGCTTTGTGCACATGCCTAGAGATGTTATGACTGAAAGAGAGAAAATATTCTCCTTGACCACAGTTTTGCCATGTATGAGCAGAATCTGAACCTCTTCTTCCCCATTCTTGCATGTTTGATGGTTCCACATATATTGTGTGCAACAGTTGGGAAGCATTCAAACAGGCTTCTGGCTGGATGATGTCCTTAAAAATCTCTGTCAGAACTTGAGAAACTACTAAAACAGAATCCATGTAGCAATGCCAATCTCCCTTCAGCCTCCCAGCCTTTTGTTTGAACATAATGTAAAGAAGCACACCCCTGGATTTAGGGGAGTTGTTAAGAATGAACAAAAAGCCTGTCATCTGCTAATTTGTTAAGAATGAACAAAAAGCCTGTCATCTGATAATTTGTATTTGAGCTCTCAGTATCCCTTAAGTCTCTGGTGATACCTGATTACAAGGAAGAAGTTTTAATCCACATCAGATAGGCACGTAACCTGTTCTAGTGTCATCAGCTTTCTAATGTTGGTTCCTTGAGGTGACAAGCCAGATGTTAAGTGGATGTTTCTCAATGTCAGTACTGCAAGTTGGTATACCTTGTTTGCTCTTGCGACCTGCTTTGTGCACTTAACAGTTTGCATGCATAACCCTTTCTATGTGTATTTCAAAATGTATATTTTTGGTCCCTTAGTAATTGTTGGTTGTTCTTTTTGTTTGGTCTTCCCCTTTCCTTTCTGTGAACGCAGCTTGTAAAATGTGAGTAGAGATGGACAGAGAACAAGGTGTAACTTTTGAGTCATATCTTAAGTAAAGGAAAACGAAAGATCAAGCTGTGACTCATCACTTCAAGTTTAAGGAGTAAGGGAACTTGTTCTCTACTGGTGACTAGTTAATTCTTCTAAGTCCAGCAAAGGGTAGGTCCTGACTCCCACAATCAAAATGATGCTCAAGCTTCTTGCAGCAACTTCTTAAATTAAGAGTTTTCATGTATTGCATTGTACTTAGGTGAAAAGTCCTCTCCTATAAACTACATGACAGGTTTTAATGAAGACAAAATCCAGCTTGCTATCCTTTAATTTTGATTATATATAAATACATATTTAAATTTAATCAACGTTCTTTCATTTATCTTATTTCACAAAAATGTTTTGACACAACCTAGGAAATTTCTCCTGACATCTTTCTCAAAGAAAACCCAATTTCTTTTTTTCAGCACTAATTGTAAGATATGTGAATGCTGTGCTTCCCCCCTTAACTCATAATCAGTCTTTGAGAGAAACATGCATATTTTATTTTGCTTGGTTTGCATGGCATTTATACATTGTACCAAGGAAAACTAAATCCTAACTCTTTCTCTCTTTTTCTCTTTCTTATTTCTTCTTTATGCTAAGAGGATTATGCTGGTAAGTTGCCTGGTTTCTATACAATGTTATAAAAATGGTAATACTAACATACATTTTTGTTCATTGTGTCAGGCTTAGACTGAGTATAGTAATACTCTGGCTTTAGGGAGAAATAAGTTTAAAATAAAATCAAGGGATTTTGGATGGGGTTTCTGAGAACTAGTAATAGATATGGCTTCAATCTAGCAAGCTACATGAGCAAATACCATATGCATATGATCATCTGGACAGAATTCAGGGGAACTCCTCATCCATGTGAAGTTTTGTGTCTGCTTTAATCCTTTGCTTGATTAAGACCATAAAGGTTTTTCCTCTTTGAATTCATGCAGTGCCTGAGCAAAATTTCATAATATTGCAGCTCCTTCTGTCAGGAAATGGTCAGCCATGCATATGTGAGCTTATTGGTGCCATTCCTTACAGAAAAAAGCTCAGTTTGTGAAAATCACCATATACACTGGCATTGGTTTCAGCCTGCTGACGGTCTTGGGGACACCCAAGATCACCAGGGAGGTGCAAGCAGTTTTCCTCCCTACAGAAACCCCTTATGTTCGTGTTATTGTGGACATCGCTCCCAAGAACTAGTGGATATCTTCACCTGATAGCTATATTCTACATGCTGAACAGCAGCATTATTAGCAAACTGATCTGAAAGGGATGGTCATTGAAAGAGCTCTCCAGAAAAGCCATACAACCAGATACTTCAGTAATGAGTGTTGCTTCAGGCAGTGAATTCTTGTGAAGGTTCATGTTTTTCTACTGTTTTTCCCCTCTCAATGGCTTAGTGTCAACCACAAAAGAAAAGAACAAAGGTACAACAGCCAGCTTTTACAAAGGAAATACATTTGCTGATGGAAACAAACATAGAGCTACTCTGTTCCCCTAATGCTGTGTTGAACCACAGTGCAGAAATACTATCTGGTCCTGTGAGTTTAGTTGGTTATTTTTATTTTCTTCTCCTTAAAATATATAAAGTGCAGTGTGTTGTTTGCAGTGTTTGTTCCAGAAGCTCTGGATCGCTCTGGTGCGCAGCAAGTCTCTAGAGGCAATATTAGCAGAGCAGGTGCAGGGCAAACAGTGCAAGCTTGGGGCTGGTTTCTGCTGTTAAAACTGCCCTGTAAAGGGCTGCTTTTCTTTTTTCTGTGCCTGGTCACTGCTCGGCTATTCTGCCAGGCCTTTTTGCCCTTGACACTACACTGAGATCGCTTACCATGGTTGCACAGAAGCCCTGAAGGAGCTGCAACACAGGAACTACCAAGTAGCCAAGATTCAGTCAGTCGATACCAGAAAGTTCCACCTATCTAGTGTGCCCTGGGATGCTTTTCTAGAAGTAAATACTATATTAAGTGAAATATTTCTGTTATGAAGGTGTGAAATACTGTTTCGGATCTTTCACCAAAAAACAACAAGAAGCAAATTGGAAATTGCTTTGGAGGCATGAGCATGTTCAGTGAAATGTTCTTCCTCTGTGTATGCTTCAGCAGTTCTTCGTTTTTCTGTTGAAAGGGGAAGTCTGAGCCTGTTGCCAGTGAAGCTGTTGTGGTGTCCCTGGCTTAGTGATCGCTTTGCCAGCACAGTTAATGTCATAGTGGAGTGTGTCTCTGTGAACTCCTCATACTTGTTTCCAGGTTAAAGAGACAAACCTGAAATAAATGTTTGCTTTTTTTTTTATTATTTTTTTTATTTTTTATTTTTTCCCTGCAATGAGCCCTTTGACTCCACCTACTCTCTTAGTGAAATCAGGTCAGTGGAAACTATTTCTAGCTAGTGTGTGCCAGACTTCTCCATGGGATTACCTAAGGTCAAGCAGAGTCTGCTTGGTAAACGTAAACGTCTTCTCTCATAAGCACTGAAGGTTGCTTGGTGCAGAAGCCTGTCTGTGATATGGGAAGGATCCCCATAGCAGACCACAAACTAATGCAGACATCCTGAGTTTCTCTGGCCTGTGCTGCTGGACAAATTTTGGTGGGACAAGTCATGTTTGAAAATGACAACTGAAATGTTTCTGTTTGGAAGGTTTACTCAGGGGAGCAAAACCTTTATTCAGCATCCTCTGTAAACTGTTGCATCTTTATTTTGTTATTTTTCAATGCATTTTAATTCAGGTAGAAACAGAGATTTTTAACTTATTGAAATAAATTATTTCATATTAATAAAAAATTTCATGCTAATAACTTATTTAAAGAAATTCACTAAAAACCTATTTAATGAAATAAATTGTCTTTACTATTTCATATTAAATGCTTGGGATGGTTTAAAAAATAATTAAAGATTGTCCAATATGTTTCGTGTGTAGGTGGCACAATGCAGCTACAACTTGTCATGGCGGGGGCTTGTAACTAGATGGTCTTGAAGGTCCCTTCCAACCCAAACCATTTTGTGATGCTATGCAATGTTCTGTCCTGGGGTAGATCTTTGTGCTTCATCTGTAAATGCAAGTCTAGATTTTCTTTTTTAATTCAATCTAACAGTTTGTCCCAATCCCAATAATCTGCCCATCTCTCTCAGAATTTGGGAGAAAGAAAAGATTATTCGAAGTTTTATAGTTTTGCAAACTCCCTTTCTTATCTGTAGCACTTCTAACTTTTTTTTTTCCAGTTGAGTCTAAGGTCTAAAATATTATCATGTTAGAAACACTTGACTATATGTGATATGATATTAGGGCTACTAAGATGATGAGATGGCTGGAGCACCTCTCATATGAGGACAGGCTGAGTGAGTTGGGCCTGTTTAGCCTGGAAAAGAGAGGACTGAGGGGAGACCTTCTCAATGTGTATAAATATCTGAGGGACAGGGTGTTGAGAGAATGGAGCCAGTCTCTTTTCAATTGTGCCCAGCAACAGAATGAGGCAACGAGCACAAACTGAATCACAGGAGGTTCCTGCTGAATATGAGAGGGCACGTCTTTACTGTGAGGGTGACAGAGCACTGGAACAGGTTGCCCAGAGAGGTTGTGGAGTCTCCTTCTCTGGAGATATTCAAAACCCTCCTGGATGCCATCCTGAGCAATGTTTTCTAGGTGAGCCTGCTTGGCTAGATGGTCTTCAGAGGTCCCTTCCTACACCACCCATTCTGTGATTTTGTGGTTCTGTGATTCTGTATTTTACATGTTAACATATTAACATTTTACATATTAACTTATTCAGTACGTTATTACTATTTAAAATTAGAGGTTACCATAAAGGCTGAACAGAAATGACAATTCATTACAATGGTATAGCCAAATTTTAATAATCAAAGTTCATGTGCATATTTAGTAAATTATGTTACTTTTTTTTTTCCCTAGAATAAATTTATTTTTCTTGTCTGATTTTGAATATTAATTCAAGACTTGTACTGCCATGCATTACTCTGCAAATATGTAGAAGGGTGTATTTTTGTATTTCATTTTGAAGAAACAAAAGCAAGTTTAGACTTGCTCTGTGTGTGTGTGTGTGTGTGTGTGATGAGAAGAGATGCATGAGTCTGCTGGGAGGAATAGAACAGGGAGTGGGTGTGCAGAAGGGGTTGTCCCACATCCCAAGAGGGTGTCAGGAGAAGGGAGAGCTCCAGTGCTGCTATTGCCTTCTTGTGCTGTGCCCTCTCCTGCAGCCAAGGCTTGGGCTGCCAGTGACATCAAGTTAATGGGGGAATGGTAGACAGGTGAGGGGGGGAGGAAGATGGTCCCTGTTCACCTGAAACCTTGCTCACCTGTTGTGCGAAACATTTGATGATACCTGATGCTGACCTTGTGAAAGATTTAGTGGGTGTCATCCATTGCTCCCATACAGGAGGTTTCTACCTTCCCAAACAGGGTGTAGAATAGATAGGTAGACCTGCAATACGAAGGTGGCAGGAGAGAGAACTAAAGATGCTTCAGATGCATTTTGTGGGTTAACCTCCCACCCATGGGTCAGTGGTGTCACATTTGATGATGTGTCTTCTCTGGCCTTCGGGCTTGATGGAAGCAGACTGTATGTCCTTTCTGATAAAAGTGCACGTGAGACTCATCTGTTCTGCTGGGGTACAATGTGCTATGAATTAGACTATGAATTCCTAATATAGATGAAAATGACCTCTCTCTTCTCCGTGTTTAGATGTTGTACAGTGGGGGGCCCAATCTTCTAAGACAAGTGTCTAAATTTAGGCACTTAAAGGCATACAGTTTTGGCTCTGAGCCTGAGGTTTAAAGTTACCCACTTCGATGTTAGCATAAAGTGCTTGCCGTAAGACACACACTACGAATTGAAGTAATTTTAAACAAGTGTTAGTGTTCAACCATAAAGCTAAAGGGTCAAGCACTGACAAAATAAAAAGCTGTGTATTGCATTAGAACTGCTGGTTCACTGAAAGACTCTGTCTCTCCTAAGGATTAAAAAAAAAAAAAAAAAAAAAAACACTTGCTTTTTATATAGGCTTAAAGGAGTGGGATTTCTGTATCTTTGAAAGCAAAGCTATAGACTTTGTCTGAATGGGAAAACCTACTTTGAGAAATAGGATGTGTAAGGTAATGCTGAAAACAGCTTATAAGGAACTTTTCATAAAATGGTAGGATTAATTGGAATAAAATTTAGAATGACTGTTTCACATTACTGGAGCTGTCTGGAAGATGAAGAAAAGTCATTATTGGATTTGGCCATTCTTTAGCTGTAACCAGTGATCTAGGCTACCCCGTGAGAGATGCTGCACATACCCTTGTGTTACAGTTGTATTCCAGATCTTTGTATACCAAAGCTTGTTCTGGATTTTATGTGCAAGTATTTTTACCAACATTTCAAGTGGAGACTACTGAAACCATAAAAATAGTTTCTGACTAAGAAATTGATTTTGCATGTTCTGTGTCTTTGGGCAGAAAATGCAGGTTACCCACATTAAATTACATGTGTACTCTTGAAACAGATTAGCCATATTTAATATATAAAAAAAAAAAGAGACCACTTCTGAATAAAAATGTCTTTTTCCAGCATTCTTGTTTACCATGCTCAACATATTAATTACCTTGAAAATCAGTTTGATTTATCACAGCAGGATAACCAGATTGCAAGCAGTTTATCTTAGCTATTGGGTTTACATTTGATTATAGCGAGTGGGTTGGTTTAGAGAAGGATGGTTTGAAATCTCTTGAAAACCTCTGCAGACAACTAATATTTTAGATACAGATATCACTGAATGTAACTTTTTTTTTCCCTTACCTTGAGAAATTGATGGGGAAAATCCAGTACTTGAAGTAAGGAAAAGCCTTCAACTTTTGTTGCTTCACTGGATCCCAGAAAATATATTACGGTGTTTAAAATAAATAGCCATACAGTTTGGAGTGATCATCTACATCTCTTTAAAAAAATGCCCCATAGCAGTGAAAGTCTATAAATAGCAGCTACACAATCTCCTGTTCTAACTTCAGTGTTGAAGACATCATTAGTGTTCAAAGCTGAAACCTCTATATGACTTAGACTGATAATTTAGGACCAAACTGAGAAACAATCCATTGTATTAATCCTCAGAGACAAAAAATCTCCTCTGTGGAACTGGTTTTACATGTAATCATCATAAATTACTCTTTTAAAGTAAATATATATCCTTATCACCCTTTACAACTTCAGGGCTGTAGACAGCAGCACCTCTGGGCACCCTGTGCTGGTGTCTTCAGCAGCAGAGAGATGGGGAGAGGCAGGTCAGCAGGTACTCGTCACTCACTTTTTCTGGCATGGAAAATTACTTGGCTCTTCCAAAATTACAAATTTCCTGGCTCTTCCAAATTACAGTTGCTCAGTGCCGGATTTGGTGTTTAGGCCTCCTCAGCCCTTGAAAGCTCTATATGGACAGCAATTAGCTGTGGAGTCTTTCCCTGTGAAGGACTGATTAGTTTTCCCCATAGTTTCCTCCTTCTTTCTACTTAGGTACCTCTGAATGCTCCTAGCTGGTCTCTCCTGGGCACTGGCTCCTGCTGCCTTTTTTTCTATTTCTCAGCCTTGGTGGCTCATGTTTACCCACAGAGCTAAGAAGCTCTGTAAAGCCAGATACTGGTAATATAAGCAACACAACCGCATATAATGGCTGTTCCTCACTGTGTGTTTGACCCCAGAGCTGCTGGTGCTGTAGCCTGTAAGCCCAGATAGAGCTAGCCAGTTTTTGGGAAACTCCAGATCCCATGTGCCAAACACTCCCAGTTGGATGGTACATCATGGGCAAGCTGTCCACATAGCAGTCACACAGCCAAAAAGTGGAGGGAAACTGCGCTGTGCTGACAGCTGTTCTGGTATTTGCACTTTATCAACAGGATTATTCACATGTGGAAATAAGCAAGTGTATTTGCAGAGTCAACATTTGTTTAGGGCACTGAGGAGACAGCTGATAGGAGAGTAACAGCAAGGAAAGGCAGAGCTACATTACAGCAGCATTGCTCTATTCTATTCTACTGTTGCATCCTACAGGTCTTTGCATGGTGTGGAGCACAGTGGACTGCAGAAGCTGCTATTCCTTAGCAGTGTGATTTCTTCTGAATTACAATTTGCAGTGAGGCAGAGTGGGGAGAAATAAAATAAGGCTTTGTGTGTACTTAGCAATTAAAAATTCCAGTGCAAGTAACAGTGGGGTTGTTTTGAACCCAGGCAATTGTCTTATGCCTGAGTTCCTCCTTCAGTTTTAATTGGATATTTTCCACTTGTTGCTAACACAGTTATGCCTTTTAAAGGGATAAAGACATTCAGAAAGAAAGTTGAGAATAATTTGTATTACAAGATGTGTAACTGTTGTTTCTGTCTTTGTTACAGTCCACTGATGATAATTACACAGAAGATCACAACACTTGCATGCCAACTACATGACGGTAAGGAAGGGAATTTTTTCACATATCCTGAAGACAGCATTTTTATTCCAGATAAAATTTTATTCCAGATTGTGGTTGATTTACAGAGAGAATGAGTGTAGTACAGTGAGTTGCTCCAAGTGAAGAGGAAAAACAAGAAATTCCAAGTTTTGATCAGTTTTCTAGGGTCAAACTGTCCTTGCAGTAATGAAGACAACTGCTTTCCCCTATGGGAGTTCTGCTTCCTTGATGCCCAGTTTGGATTTTATCTAGTATCTGTATTCACTGTTTAGATGTTGAAGTGCAACTCTATTAAGCTTTCCGAATCAGTTCTTGATTCTCAAAAACCAAAAGTTGTATCTGATACATGTATCTGATACATCTGATTCAGCTATTAACATTAATGTAACAAATCTGTGCATGATAGCATTAGGATAGATAGGTTATATTCAATTAAATGATGCTGCATAAATTGTGAGAGGTGGAATTCAATAGCATTTTCCCAGTGCTGGGAAAAGCACAGTTGCAGGCAAAATAATGGTGTCTTCATTCTTGCATTGTGCTGTGACAAAGAGTGTTGTTATTTTCTAGTAAAATGCTTGTGTCTAGTACAGCGCAAAGACTAGAAATGCCAGTTGTCATCAGTACTGTTATTGCTCGTCTGCTGATGGTGCATTGTGAACTTCCAATGCCCACTGAATTATAAACTGTGGGTGACTAAATGAGTCACCTGATCCAGAATTGCTATGATCTAGGATGTAGGTGATGGCCACAAACAAACTGCAGGGTTTGGCATTGTTTTCAAGCCAAGTTTACATGAATGGGTCTGTGTGTTGGTTTCACACTGATGGGCAGCTGAACTCCACCACAACTGGTCTCCCCCTCCTCAAAGGAAAAAGGGGAGAAAATACAATGGAAGGGGCTCAAGGACAAGGACACAGAGATCACTCAACCATTACTATCCTGGGCAAAACACATGCAGCATAGAGAGGTTAATATTTATTGCTTATTACTGACAGAATAGAGCAGTGAGAACTAAAAGCAAACTAAGAATACTTTCACTCCCGTGCCCCCTCTTCTACCTCCTGCCCCAGAGCAGTGCAGTGGTATGGAGGCTGTGGTCAGTCCCTGACACTTTGTCATCGGCTGCTCCTTCATGGTCTCTCTCTGCCCCTGCTTCTTGTGGGGTCCCTCCCATGGGATGCAGTCCTTTCCAAAATGATCCCGTACAGGCTGCCCACAAGCAGCAGCTCTTCAAGCACTGCTCCCACAGGGCTCCGTCCCACGGGGTCCATCCATCCCCCAGGAGCAAACTGCTCCAGCATGGGTCCCCCACGGGTGGGCAGCAGCTCCCCCCAGACCCCTGCTCCTGCGGGGGCTCTCCATGGGCCGCAGCCTCCTCCAGGCCACATCCACCTGCTCCACCGGGGGCTCCTCCACCCATGGGGGGGCTGCAGCATGGAGATCTGCTCCATGTGGGACCCATGGGCTGCAGGGGGACAGCCTGCTCCATCAGGGGCCTCTCCACAGGCCGCAGGGGAACTGTCCTTGTGCTGCACTGATCTTGGGGCTGCAAGGCTGCTTCTCACTCCTCGCTCTCCCGGTTGCTTTTTGCCCAGCCATTTTTTTCTCTACCTTAAATCTGTTCTCACAGAGGTGCAAAGAGTGTTGCTCCCGCTGAATCTTGTTCTGGCCAGCGGCGGATCCCTTTCGGAGCTGGCTGGAGCTGGCTCTGATCTGATGAGGGGCAGCTGCTGGGCTCTGCTCACAGAAGCCACCCCTACCGCTTCCCTGCTACCAGACCCTTGTCACATACGCCCAATACAGTCTGTTATTTCTAGCCTGCTATAAGCAAGTGCAGCTTGAAGCTCTGCATGGGTTAATTGACCTTGTTAACCTTCACAACAGTCTCTGGGGCTTCTCTGCCCTTATTATTCAAGCCAGCTAGCTCAGGTATCCCTGTGTGCCACAGTGGTGTGCTGCCTACATGTACCCCTAGAATCCTGAAGGTAAATGAACAGTCAGAATGGAACACACAGCAGTGGCGAGCTTGTCTTAAACCAGAAATCCTACAGATTAATTATAGTGGAAAAGGCTCATTACATAGTGAATGTCCATACATGGAGCAGTTGTTCAAAGGGAGGCAGCGTGCAGTTCAAGCATGGGTGACAAATCTCCATTTGTAAAAATTTAATGCAGCTGCCTTAAATGGAAACGGACAAACAAAATATCCATCCCTTTAAGTAACTAAGTGTTTAATAGTTCTGTGGAGCTCATGCCCTTCCCAGTATTTAGGAACTGAAACAGTGAAGAGAGAATGCATAAGAGTAGCTTATAAGCAGTCTTTTCAGAAAATGGGCCATGTGGATGTGCCTTGGTAATTATGGCCGGTGCATTGAGAACAGTAATGTTGAGTGATGCCAAGCCCCCGATCTTGTGAAAACGTATATATATGCATGCTCAGTGTCAAGTGGTGTGACTCATCCTGTGGTCAGTTTTGCTGAAACCAGTGGGATTTCTCACAGTAAGCACAGCTAAGGCTTCAGAGTGAAGGTTTTAAGATATTTGCTATAAGTGACATCTGTTTACACACTGGCCATCATACAAGACTTTTGTATAGTTTTCTTGGGCAGTGACTCTGTGCTCTGCCTCTGGCCCCAAAAGTCACATGAACTCAACAGGAGGTTGCCCTTCCAGACTGGACCTTGTAAAATTCCAGATTATTACTGATATGTGTGTTTTGGTTTGCTCCAGCAGCAGGCAGCCAGGCTGCTAGTTCACACTAGTGAAGCTTCTGTTTCTTGAGAGCCCATTTCTCTTCCACTGATCCTCCTGCTGTGAAATGCTCCATTTCTCACCAAGGAGCCAGCAGGAGGCTGGAGCTTAAATGAGGCAGCAGCTTCTGGGAACAGAGGTTTTTCCAGCACCAGACCGTTAGCAGAGGCTGCTGGGGGTTGCTGCCAGTTGGTGGCATTGCGAGTTGCATTGTGTGTATGTGGGAATACTACGACTACTCCTCCCGAAAGCCTAGCAAGGGTGAGAAAGGGGGGATGAGGTAAGGAACCATGATAGAGGGAACGTGAATATACTTGACCTAAAAGTTGGGAATTGAGCTATCTGAAAATTGCTTGTGACAAAGAGATATTGAAGCCTATGGATTTAGGAACTTCCTATCTATGGGATGCAAACATAAGGCTTTGGGGGTGGCTTTCAGTGTTCAGCTTTTGAAAAGATCTAATGTAACTTTTCTGTTCAGGAATAGGGCGACAAGCTGAGGAACTCACTGCTGAGCAAAATCGGCTTGCTGTAAAGTAAGAATTTCATTCACCCATTGATATATGTTTAATTTCATCTGAAGAAGTTTAGTTTTTGTTGTTCAGTTTGTTTATAGTTTGTTGTGTGTTTTTTTTTTTTTCTTTTGCAATGTCAGAGGTAACAAGTGGTCCAAACCATGAAAATGTTCCCTGCCTCTTCCCAGTTCATAAAAGGATAAAAGTGTTTCCTGCTTTTTCTATTTGCTTGAGGAATTTTGTTTTTGTAATAGCATTGTTAGTGCCCTCCTTACACAAATTTCTTTGCTCTATTCTCTATTTCTTTGGCCTAGGGCTTCTGCCTTTATCACCCTGTGCTAGTCAATACCACACTTAAGGTCATGGCAAGGTCTCACTGACTTAAATGTATCCTCCATGTGAAACAAAAGCAGTCTTTGGTGAAATCAAATTCTTTATATTCTGGCTAAGGTTGTATTGTGCAGACTTTTTGTCTGTTGTCTTCATTTTACCTCTGATACGCTATTTTTCTGCAATAGAATACTCTTCCTCTGCTGGCAAACTACTGCATACCAGAAGTCCGTTTTTGTTTGACACTTTAAGTACTGCTTTTCTTCACCAAAATTCCCAGTGAAATTTTATTTTTCCTATCTCCCTCCATAAAATTAGTACTTCAAGTATTAGTCTTTCAAGTTATGTGACTAATCTTCTCCTTTTTCAGAGGGAGACAGCATATTAATCACGTGTTCAAGCATCTTTTTTCCTTTCTTGTCTCTTGATACAGATGAATTATTTTTTTCAGAAGAACTAGGATTACTCTCATAACTACTTTTCACCATGAAGTGAATGTTTAGGGCCAAGGAAGTTGTTTCTAAGGCAGAAGATAGAGCCCTCAGAAAATCTGCCTATGAGCTTCTAAAAGTAAGAAGAGAGTAGTTTCTTGAAAAGCAAAAATTCTGTAGGGAGACTTATATAACTTTTGCTATGGCCCATATGTTTTTGCTTGTTTTTCAAGCTCACAGCAGTAATGTTCAACTGCAGTGGGCCCTTGTGGCCATATGATTAATTCTAGTCAAATTCTCACCAAACAGGCTGGTCCTTTTTTTTTTTTGTACAGTAGATGAGCTCACAGTATAGAAGTGTATGCCAATAGCTCAAGTGTTGGTGGCAGACAAATCATAACTGAGGAGTTTTAAATCCCCTTTGGTAATGCAGCCTTTTGTCTTCCCTCTGTTCTTGGTCTGTTTTTGTTTCTTACTCATCCTCTGTACATTCCTTCGTGCATTGCTCATGTCTCCCCACCCACCCACGTGCACAATCTAAGCTGAAACTAATGACTTTATTTTTACTCTTATTTTTATCTTACTCTCAGAAGCCCAGGTCGCCATCACAATTTTACAGAACAGAAAGATGAGCCTTACCCCAAATTGTTTGCTGCATCTTTCTGTGAAATGTTTTCACCAGACAATGTATCATTCAGACACTAGCATCCACAATGACCAGCAGAGTGAATGCAGAAAATCCTGGCTAAGCTAACTGTTTATTCAAACTAATTCCGCTTCAGAATAAAAGTAGGCAACAGCAGTTGCTTAACTGTTGCTTAATTTTTCTGCTAGAAAACATAGAAATTTATGTTTTAGTCTGAAAGAATTTTAAGTAGGTTTTGGTTTATGCACGTCCACCTGTATCTTGGACAGGAGAGTCCTAAAGCATTGTGCCTTAGTTCCTGTTCTCATTTTTGGGGAGTCCTTATTTACTTTGGTGACTATTAGCACATTAATGGAGAGCACTGTGTATCTCACTGCTGAGTATAGATATTGGTGTTTTTCAGTCATGTAAATAAAGCAAGCTCAGCACTTCAGAAACTACACTAGCAGTGAGAGGCCTGCACATCTTTCTTTTCTGTCCTACTAATCTGTTGCAATGACAGTGAATCCTCATTTTACATCTAATGGTAAAACTCCCACAGGAACTTGTGGGTTATGCACTTGCAAAATAGAAATAGCAACCAAGATGGACTTCGACTTTCTTCTTCAGATGTCTTTTGATTTATGTGTTGTTTTTTTTTCCCCCATACTTCCTTTTCCTGTCCATGATGCAATACACACGATTACTTCCTTTATTTGCACAGAAGGACGGAGTGCCTCTTCATTCTGTTCCTGTGTGTCTCACATTGCACTTCCCATTTTTCAGAAGGCTGAACAGTGCTGGCAGCTGCTTTGAGAAGGGTGGCTGAGAGCTCCTCTCAGGCCTGGCAGTCGGTGTCTCAAAAGCTCCCTGCCCTATAGTTTGCATAACAACACAAAGTATTGCATTGAACAGCTTGGCTAGGCTGGTGTTACTCAGCCTGTGGTCTGCCAGCCGTTACTGGTCCATGACTTACCAGGCAGGTGTCCAAAACAGCTACCAGATTCTTGCTGTTGTTACTGCTGGCCTGGCCAAAACGTGCAAGTCAATTTGCTTGAGAGTAGATACTTAGATTTATGACTAATTTAAAACTGCAATGCTTTTAGTAATAAGACTACAGCTTTTCAGATTGGTAGCGTTTGTTCACCTGTAGTTTGCGCACTTCCACGTTGCCCTTGTTCAGACTGCCATCTGCCAGACATCACTGGGATATGTGAGAGGCTGTGATTCATCTTTACCCCCCAAAAAGATATAGTAAGCTTTCATCTAGGGGGGAGATGTTAGGAGAGAGTTGAGACTGAAGCAGGCAGTACAACAAAAAAGTGTTCACTGAAGCCTTTGCTGTGTTTAACATGTTTTTTTTTTGTTTGTTTGTTTTGTTTTGTTTTGTTGTGCGTGGATGATTTCCCCAGGACAAGACCATCTTTACTGGAGTATTTAAGCTATCTTCTCAATTTTATGAGCATCATAGCTGGGCCTTGCAGCAATTACAAGGATTATATAGCCTTCATTGAAGGGAGGCATGTGCATATGAAACTATTAGAAGTGAACTGGAAGCAGAAGGGTTATGACAGACTTCCTGATCCTTCTCCAACTGTAAGTTTTAAAATGACAAAGATTGATTGCAAAGGGCAGGAGAGTACAGCTTTGTACAGGATTCTCATAATTAAAAATGAAGAGGAAAACCCATTTTTGGATTATCTTGCCAGTAAACGTTAGTAGTGGTTTTTGTTGTTGTTGTTGTTTGTTTTTTTTTTTCCTCTGTGAAGTGGCTGCTGTTTTTATCACTGGGTCAGGGGTGAAGGGGCTGGTGTCTTCCCTTGAATTCCCCAAATGTATTTGGCTTGCAGAATGGGTCACTGGTCAATGGGTGTCCTTTGTGCAGCAGTGGGAACATTCTGCAGGTTCTAATAACTATCAATTGCAGTTCAGCTCCAGACAGAAGAAGAAAACAGCACATCTGTCAGAAAGAAAAGTCAAATCCTGCCTGTAATGCAGAATACATTGGGAGTACAGGAATTATGGCCCATCAGAAACTGTAGTGTGCCCAGGTGCTTTGCAAGGCAATTTCACTCTTTAAAATTACTTGGGGGTCATTTTTCATGTACAAGGTTAGTAAGTGCAACACTTTTGTTTTATTTTTCAATACTATGTAAGACCTTCTTATAAATTACCTTATTGTAAGACAGGGTAACAGTGTGAGAACCAGATTCTTCTCTCTTGTCTTAAAGTGACACTGAGCGCATAGTTTTGTGAGTGAGTGCAGTATGTCTTTTCTGAGGTTGAGCATCTGCTGCTACATATCTGATTCCTGTTTGCATACAGTTGTATTTCTACTGACTTCAGTGGTGTTACTTCTGATTTACATTAGTATTACTGAGGTCAGAATAAGGACCATCTTGTGTTAGATGCAAGTCTGCAGAGAATATTAACATTTGCATTGTACCCATTTTAAAATAATCACACATTAGTTTATTACTGAATGTGGAAAAGGTATAAAAAGAGTACTTGGGATCCAAAAGTGCATTGTTGTTTCAATAACGTATTGCACTTTTACTGATCTGAGAATGCACGAGTCAATTTTTACATGGTATCCAAGTGTCAGATTTACCTTTTTAATTATGCCTGTATCAAGGAATGTTTACTCCTGATGCTTATTTGAAATGAAGCTTTTAACTACTGACATGACTGGTGATAATTTTAATATATAAAAAGCTAGAGAGCAGTAACAGAAGTGAGCATGGTGCTGCAGATACCCTATATCATGGGAAGTTACACATGTTGTGTATGCTTTTTTGACCAGTGTTTTTTAGCAAGGCACCTGGATGGCAGCTGAACAATAAGGCCCACTGTTGTACTGAATACCAAAGCTTTTGGCTTCTATGAGGAGCCCAGTCTTCAGTTCCAAGAGATGACAGTACATATAGGAAAGCTTTCTCCTTTCCATTTTGCTTTTGTTTGTTAGTTTGTTTCCTTTCTCATTTTAGGACCTCCACTAATTGCTGTAGGAGTCTGGGGAAGATCATGGCCAATTTTGACTATAAATTCTCACTTGCAGCCAACTATAGTTAGTTCAATAAACTACATTAGACATAAGGTTGTAGTGTGGCCTTTTCTTTGTCACCCTTTCTAAATTAATTATTGTCAACTTTGTCACTAGCTTTATTGCTTCTTGAATCACATTCTTTTTGTATGCCATGAGCACTGGTATTTTTCTTTCCCTTAAGCAAATGCTTCTAATGAATATTTCACTGTCATTTGTCTTTTTCAGGGAGCAGTGATGTACAAACTGTGTATCACACTAGTATCTCTTGTTTTATTCTTGACACTTACCAAGAACTTTCCTATGGCATATATTATTGATAATGAATTTCTTGATAAAACACCCTTCTTATCAAGACTTGGTTACCTGTACGTTGTTACACAGGCAGCAAAACCAAAGTATTACTTTGCGTGGACGTTAGGTAAGTCTGGCTGCTTCACTTATTTTTGTGAGTAACAAATTGGTTCATAAATGGGGAGGGGGTTTGGGAGGGCTGAAGTAGTGGGAAGTAAATGAAATAAAATAGTCCCTAGACCTGTAGTTCATCCAGGAGATATACACAGTGTTCCTGTAGGCAGTGTATGTAGACAAGTATGTTATGATGTACAGACCTCTTTCTTGTTATGAGACATCTTTAGCACATGCATCTGTATTAGAAAGTTGTGGTTCTTGTGGAGAACTAAAATTAGACTTTGCCTCAGAGGCACTCTGTGGTCCTGTGCATGGGCTAGCCTTGAGCGAGCAAGAGAGAGGACTGGAGAACCACAGGGCAGGTGGGCAATGAAGAAGGCTATGGGATAGACCCAAGAACCTCTGCAAGGAAAAGGAGCAGAGATAGAAGAATGTTCATTAGAAAGAGAAAGTAAAAAAAAAAAAAAAAAAAAGGCTTTGATATTGGAAGCCAGTTAGACTGGTGGTCAGAATAATCTTTTAATATTTTCCCTACTTCATTTTAGAAGTCACTCTTCCTGTCTATGTGTGAGGAGTCAAATCCTTCTAGCCTAGGTTGAAAATTGAGTGACTGATTTATTTATTTTTTTTGGTGTGTGTACAAGGCTTTGCATGTAGGGAGATCCTACAGTGATATATACACCCAAAACTGAGAAGGGTGTCATTGGGATGGGATGGAAAGAACCAGTAAAATTTGTTGTGAGGCTGTAATTGAACTGCTGGGAGTAAATCAAGATGGATCAAGAAAAGAACACTGAGGACTGGCATCTGTAGGAAGGGAAAGGCTTTGGGATAAAGAATTGTTTGCTCAGGAAGTTTTTTTAGAGGGATCCAATATTAATTTGTAACTTACAAGTTTTCCAGTGTCATAGTTAACTAAAATACCATTATCAAAGAGATTATCTGAGTTTGGATTTGTGACAGGAGTGAGCGAGACTTAGGGGCTGCAAAAATATCTTACAGATGAGGGGTTTCAGGAAGAGCATACATTGCATGCTGGTGGGTAAGGTCTCTGTTCCTCGTGTTACAGATCCAGGCAACAAAACAGCAGATGTTTTATCCTTTTGCTGTTTAGCTCCCTGTGGCATGGCACAAGGCATGGCACAAAAGTGCCTGCTGAAACTGCTGATAAGCACTTCCTGCTCTCAGAAGAGGACAGTCATGCCATTGTGCGAGAGCCGTGCTGCTGAATTCCTCCAGATCCGTGGAAAGACAGAAAATTCAGCTTCTCCTTGCAGTAGCAATAGTCATGGGAGCATAGCTGCAAACTTGACTCGGAGCTACTGTTGAAAGCAATTTGGAATTGAGCACCTGCATCCAAGGGTTTGTGCAGAGCAAAAGCAATAAGCCAGAGCTGTTCAAGTCAACAGGGAAACCTCTGGTGGACTTTGTGGAGGTTGGGGTTTTGCAATTAATTTGAGGGCAGGACAGCTGAGATGCTTTTATGCCCAAATCATGCTGTTCTGTAGATGTCCGTGTGTGAAGCAAGAGGCCAACAGGTCTGCAGCGTTGCTGTGCCCCTGGATTTCTCATTTCTTGCATTTGCCAGAGAAACACTAAGCAGTCCCTGCTACCCTTTGAGCAAGGAGGAGCAAACCTAGGAGTTCTCTGCTCTGGTGTGACAGTCTCTTTCCAGGCACAGTCCCTGTGGGTCTTGCAGCTTGCTGCTGCTCTCATAGCAAGACACTGGCAGGCCATACAGTAAATTTTAGACAGGGTTCTTTTTTCAAATAAAAAATACATGGCGAGATCTGAAAAATGGGAGACCTTTCTTTCCATCAGTAAAATCTAGCTCATTTAGTAAAGTGGAAAGTAAATGGGAAGTTTCAGATTACAGAAGGCTGCTTATTAATTTATTTATTTATTGCTATTGTTGTTAATTAGGTTCTCTCTGTGGTGTTCTGCTTTGAGGTTTCTCCATGAAGTTGTGCCTAAATTTGTAGCACTTACAAAGCAAAATCTGTTTCCAGACTCTGGAAATAAATTCTGACCTTTTTAGAGCTTGGTTTATTCCAGGCTTGTATTTTGTAATCAGTCTAGATGGATAAGCTTTACCTACCTACCTGTATTTTGGCTTTCCTTTTTCTTCCCATCTCCTCAGTGGCGTCTGCATCTAGAGATAACAAACCCTTCCTGTTTTCTTGGTATACAGGGAGAGAATTTCTGGCAGGGGCACATTAAAAGCATTATTTAAGACCTGATGACCAGATGGCTCCCAAGCAAGGCTGGGAAATAGTTGCCCAAGTACCCTGAGGAAGAGCAAGAAATTCATTCAGCCTGTGGAGTTGTGCTGTGCTTCATTGCAACAGCAAGTGGGAGCACAGCATGTGAAATGCCTACTGTTACCCAGGCTTTTATTTGCACATGTAGTAGTTAAGTCTGTAACTGAAGTTACTCAATATTTGATTTGTAGAGATGGTTGGGTACTTTAGTGAGGCACTGAACAATGGGTTTAAGACAAAGGCTTTATCTACCAAAGTATGAATAAAAGTCCCGATTAAAACAATCATGATGTAACCCTTAGTCAAAATGGTGATCGTGTTGTGGAGACCTTACAGCTTTTCTGAATTCTGGGAAGTGCTGGGACATCCTGATATCCTTTTGAGGAAAATACTAATTACGTATTAATAAATATGACAACTCTTTTTCATCTATCTCCAGTGTAATATGGATATGGGGAGAATAATAGGAAAAATGATTTCTATTCATTATTATTTTTATTTTATTTTATTTTATTGTTTCTTCTGTTAAAGGAGTAGCTCATCTTTCCTCTTCAGGAAGTGATTCTCCTGTGTTGCCATATAGCAATGCCCCTTTACTAAGAGGAAGCTTCTTTTTGAAAGAGAAGTTGCTAATTACTATAAAGATGGCTTGAATGTGTGTTCAGTGACATACAGACTTGTAAGAGACGACGGCTCCTCCATCAGTCTGATTTGACCCATTTTGCTTTGATATTGCAGCAGATGCAGTCAACAATGCGGCTGGTTATGGATTCAGTGGAGTTGATGAGAGAGGTGCTTTCCGCTGGGACCTGTTGTCCAATTTGAATATCTGGAACATTGAGGTGAGTTAAAAGAGTGGCTACATTAGCATAACGGGCACAGAGAAATTGCCGTGATAATGGGGAGACTGTTTGCTAGAAGGAAAGTAAGTCCATGCCACCAGGCTGCCTCTCTTTAATTTGAGAGGTTTTGTGTTTTATCTATTGGGCAGATAAATAGCGTCTGTCACACAGCCTTTGTCATGCTCTGTATTCAGGTTGCATTTGTAAATAGTTTATAGAAGGCTAATAAATGATTAATCAGATGTTTAATAAATGAGCAGTCAATTACTGTAGATTGTGGCTGAGTTCAGCGGGTCAATAAATTGCTCGCAGCTATGATTCTTCACCATCTGCGGTGTATTGCATCTATCTGCTTCTTGCAGCATTCCCCTTTCGTAACCCAGCTGAAATATGTGCTGGTAGTGAAAGAGGCTATCACATCGATAGGCATTGCACAAACACATGAAAGAGTTTGGGTCTCTGCGTATAGCTGGAGGGCCTCTTGTAAGTGGAAACAAGCTGGGGTGCAAGAGGTAACAGGTACAGACCGAGTAACCTGAACAGGATTGGCAGGGCCATGTAGAGCTTACAGGGTGGCTGATCTGGAGCTCTGTTCAGCAAACCACATGATTTCTCAAACCTTGGTCACACATATTTCTTGTGACTGCAGCATGCTTTTAACATCCATTAGTCTTTTGTAAACTATGTTAGTGTTTTTTTTCTGAAGCAAGAGATGGCCAGTATGGTTATTTGTTTGCTCTGAAGAATATTCTCTGAGTGCAAGGGGGATGTAAAAATGTTTACATGTCTAAAACTGCTTTCTTAAGGCTTATTTCCTTTAGAAATAGGAGGAACTTTCCCCTGTAATTCGGTAGTTATGCTTTTAAAATGAAAAGCAGATGAAAACAACAAGTTAACTGCCTTATTGCTGAATGACCTGTGATGAAGCAAGTGTGCTTCATGTCAATTTCTCAAAAATGAAAGGGCCCCTGTAATTATTAGTTGAAAAATGTTGAAAGATGCGAAAGCTGAAAGTATATACATTCTCACTTTCTCAACATCCTTTCTCTGTTTTTTATCTTAATCCTCATTATACATCTCTCCTTGAGTAGTACAGAATGCACATCCCCAAAATGCTTTTACTCCTCGATAGCAATAGCATGCAAGGTTCCACTCAGAAATCTTGAATAAATACCTAATTCAGTTTCAGGGCAGGAAACAATTCCTGCCTAGATGGGCTAGGGCAATTCCTGTATGAATGAGGATAGTAAAGTGTAGGCAGTGCTCTTCAGTAAAGCCAAACAAAGGAAACAGGAGCCTTTGCTCTCCTCTACCTGCTGAACTGTGGGCTCTACAGAATTTTTTCCTTCAGATGAGCAACAGAGATCAGGGTGGAGAAATTATTTCCAGGAGCATAAAGCAGAAGGGTCATACCGGCCTCAGAAGTCCTGCCAGGAGGGATGATGTACTGTGGCTTTCCAAATTTCCCAGTCTTATCTTAAAGAGCATCTGAGTCAGCAGGGAAAAAAAACAAAAAACAAACCAAAACAAAACACCAGGCCTCCATTGATTTGGTCATGTGTGCAATAAGAAGAGAGACTACAGAGCTTCATGTAAGCCTTGAACTGTTCCTGTATGCACCAACAATTCTGGGAGTTAAGGGAGAAGTGTGATTGTGCAGTGCATTTTGAGCAGGATAGCCACTTTCATGTGTAAAACTTCTAAGGGCTGCGAAGTGGAGTGCTAAGTGTGCCTACAGTCTAACCTGGACTGTAGGGGTTGGATGAAGACAAGGATGTGTCAGGAGTTTTGAGGACATTAAAAGGACATGGGTGGCTAAATGTGTGGGGGACGGCTTGAAGAAAACCTTGGCAGTGTGCATATTCTGACAGCCAGTGACCAGTTTCTCTCTTTGTAGAGTAATGGGAACTTAAAGGAGGCCAAAAGAGAGTGACAATATTAGTTGGAAGAGAAATTATATTTTTCTTGGCTTCTCTTGGTGCAATCATGCAGTAATGCTATTAAAATGTGGCAGTGCTGCATTGGGAATTGCTAATCGTTTTTAACTTTTTAAACAGAGGATGCAGTGCCAATCATCAGGGTTCTTTGTGAAAAGGCAAAAGTATCTGAATATTCCCCTTGGAAACTGTTCTCTTTATTCCTTCTGGTTGGTGTGCCCATGCCTTCAGCTGATAGCACAAAATAATGTGGTTTCATCGAATCAGTGGAGACCAGTTATTTATTCCTGCTTGATGAGAACACCCTGGGAAGTTTCTGTCAGCAAGCAAGGAGCAAGGGGGAGTGGGAACAGGGAACTGCCAGAGGTGGAGTTGGCCAGGATTAGGGGAATTGATGCTTGACAGGATCGAGCAGTCCCCTCAAGCTGAGGGAACTGATGCTGTGAGGAGGTACAGGTAGTTCCCCCAGGGCCCTGGAGTCCACTCCAGTTTCTCAAGCTGGATAGTGAGCTGAAAGTTAGCTTCTAAATTTAGTCCTGAATTTATTTTTGTCCATGTTTTTGCAATTTTCCTCCTTCCTTTTCCAAGTAATAACGCATATCTTTTAGTTTTTATAACACTTTGTTTTAATAGCACTCTAGGGAATTCCAGACTGTGTAATGGGTGGCAAGATTTCTCTTCCAGAAATGAAGCTGTTTATGAACTGTGGGAAGGCCAAACGTTTAAAACAAGAAAGCTCTTCAGATTTCTCGTAATTTGAAAAATAACCAAACATTGTGTTTAATTTTACAAAACAAAGCAAGTGCAGAGTGCTGGCAGTGAGCAATCAACCTAGTTAATGTCCCTCCCAAAATATATTAGTGTAATGATGGACTGTGGCACAATCTTCACAATAGTTAGCTACTGGAATAAATGTTTTCCTTGTATTATTGCTTCTCTAACTTAAAATGCAAGTGTTATTTTACAGGTTTCAGTGCTAACATTTCATGTGAACTTCTTTCTTAGACTGCAACAAGTTTTAAAATGTACATTGAAAACTGGAACATTCAGACAGCTGCCTGGCTAAAACGGTAAGTGGGATGAAACAGCAATTTGCTTGTGAGACCCAAAAACTTTAGATGGCCTGAAAAAATGCTGATGGTGAGTCTTATCAATGTATAGTCTTTTGTTCTCTCTAAAAGTTGGTGGAACACAGTGGGTTTTGATGCTATGAAGTTTTGTTGTTGCAAATGTTAAAACGTCCACATTTTATATACGAGCAGAAAAGCCAGAAATGAACCATTCATATCTTCCAAAATGAAAAGTAATAGCATTTTGATGGCATATTTAAGGCTGGTGTCTTCCTCCATAGTGTTTGCTGTAATGTTTCACGGTGCTGTATTATGTTTCCCATGCATATTATGACCGGAGGCAAGCCTCGTTGTGTTGCTAGGATCCATTTCATTTAGAACTGGGGAGAAGTCCGAATCTTCAGAGCTTTGGTGTAGTCCAGTTTGGCGTTATCACAAGAAGCTTTCTACTGAGTCCTTGTTTAGGATATGGAGAAGAGAGTTATTATAGCATTGAGATGATCCGATTTTAATCTGTCTGATAAGGCTTATGTAAATATTAGCTTAAGTTCAGTTTTTTAAAATGGAACTGTGTCCTGTTACTTGTTACACTTTTTGGCATGATTAAAGCTCAGTGTACAGTCAGTTAACGCAGTGTCTGAAGTGTAGGCACAAATATATCATGGTTATTGTCACTGTTTTTGTTGCTAAATGTTATTTTATTATCTCCTATTTTTCATAATTCAATTGATGTTCCTAGTAAGAAATACATTTTCTCAACTATTTTATTTGGAACACAGCATCTCTGTTAAAACTCAGATAGCCAAATAGACCTCATAATGTATTCTTGAACTGGTATCATTCATTTCCATCTTTGGAGTAATATTTTGGGCTGCAAAAATTAGCAGGAATCCCCTGCTTTGCAATAGCTAAAGGCACTCCCTGTTGTTCCCAGCATCTCTCAGATAACAGTGCATAAAAATACTTCTGTTCACCAGTAAGGGGTGTGGTGGTGTCTGTTGGTCCTTTTACTTGCTCTTGATTTACCATCAGGGTTTTGAAGAATAGTGTGCAATTCCAGATTAGAAGTCTAAAGTTGAATGGGAAGTCTTCCCTGCTCTCTGCCCTTCTGTTTATTTGACTGCTGAGAGCAGTGGGAATATTTGTACAGGCACTCTTTGGATACTCAGTGCATAAAAGCTTGCTAACTCTTTCCATCTAACCTTCCATGTTATCAAAGGGAGAGCACCTTACACCCTAGACTGTAACCGAGGCAAGATGAGACCTGTAAGAAAACAGAATAAGATGTTAACAGCTGAGAAGGATTTGCAGTTTCCATTGTTCTGCTGTATTCAGCTTCTTGTTTTGTTTTCCTCTTCACAGTGTTTGCTATGACAGAGCTCCTTGGTACCCTACAGCCTTAACATTTATCCTGTCGGCCCTGTGGCATGGTATCTATCCTGGATATTATTTTACATTTCTCACTGGAATCCTTATCACACTCGCAGCCAGAGCAGTATGTACCTTTCATTGTTCTCTTCCAAGGTCCTTTCTAGACGTTATCCAGCTATCAGCTGCAGGGACCACCCTGGCACAGTCAAGCAGCTTGTCCCTGCTGCGAGCGCTCTTTCATGCCTTTGCAGGGTTGATGTTCACTGAAATTTTGTTCTGCATTAATGCTAATTACAAAGAACCCCCAACAGTTAAAGCCAGCACTAATTCTCTGCGTGCTGCAATACTGCCCCTGGCTGTCAGAGAAAACATTGCTTGTGAGTGTATCATTAGGTGGGAGTTTGGGAGTACTACTGGCTGTGTCTGTGCAGTCAAATTAGCATGGCGTTCAAGGTTAAGCTTGAGACCAGACTTCTGCTAGTTCATGTTGCATGGATGCTGACTTGTAATTAGCTCTGGGTCCACTTTTTCACAGTAACTGTTATGGGCTGAGCATTAGCCCTAGCTGGAGTGCTGTCATGTGGATGCAATTGATGGGGTGAACTGGGCTCTGTGTTTATGGGCCTGGTCTTGGGTAGAGCCACCAAAGGCAAAACAGCTTTCATGTCACACTGAGGCTGCATTTATCACTTGTGCAATTTATCCTTCAGGCTGAACCAGCCAGTTGGTCAGGGCTGGGAAGCCCCTCTGTTCTCTTCCAGCATTTGAATATGGATTAATAACCAGGTCTATCTGAAAGGAGAATTAAGCTAATGGTTAGTATTAGCCCCTATGGCCACAGCAAGTTGCTGAGCATGCTGTTTTAACACGTGCTTTGCCTCTCATTTGTGAGGATCCATTTCACAGATGTGAAGTTAAACCCAAATCTGTGGAGAACTGACCAGGTATAAACACATACTTGTTCATATAAAGTAACTTTGTTTCACAGTTGAAAAGCAGTAATAAATAAAAAAAATAAAAATGGGAGGGAGGAAGATCAGATCATAACAACTTCCCTCCTCGAGGTTATTGTCCAAGATTCCTGCATGAGAGTCTGCTCTGCTGATTATGGCAGAGGAAATTGGGCCACTTCTCTGTTTACCACTGATTAACTGTGGGATCTTAGATATGACAGTTAATGCACTTCTGCCTGCCTTCCGACTCGCAGTGCTTTCAAAAGGGTATGTAAACTTTTTGGTGATAACGCTGATAATAAGTGCAATACATATGCTGCAGTATGCTTGCGTGACTTTGCCTAAGAAGTGAATTTATGTAATTTTCTGTTTACTTTTCCTTGACATGCAGATAAGAAGCAATTGCAGACATTACTTCCTCTCATCGGTGCCTCTCAAGATAGCCTATGACGTTGCTACCTGGGTTGTCACTCAACTAGCAGTTTGCTATACAGTTGCACCCTTTGTAATGCTGGCTGTTGAGCCCACAGTTAAGTTTTACAAGTAAGTTCTCTCCTGGTTATGGCACCTCAGACCAGTGTGGCTTTGTTAAATAATGCAAGGCATGCTGAAAGGCAATTGGCATTTCATCAGATCTGAAAGGAATTCAAACAGGATATTTGATAACGTAAGGAGCGATTTCTGTACTCCTGTAGCTTAATTAGCTAGTAGTGCCAAGTAGGAGCCCTTCTTTCTTACTTCTCAGTCTTTTTGCGTTGTTATTTAATCTGACTTTTCACATACTCAGCTTCCTTTTTCAAAGCAGTCAAGTCTCAGCCTTTAGCAGTGGTGAAGGCTGGAGAGGTTAAGCACAATGTGAGTTGACAGTAGGAAGGGCTCAGTGAGACAGGAACAGATTTCCAGCTGCTGACTGCACGGAGCAGGAGAGGTGACTGATCAGCAGGAGATAAGAGGGTACCTGACAGATTATTACTTCTTGAAATCATTATGTTTTTCTTTTTGTGTGTGAATACTTCCATAGGTCCCTCAAAAATAAGTGCAAATAAGCACTGGGTTTGCAGAGTATATTGAATATACTCTAGTAAACATAACTTGAAATAGAGAAATTCAGAAATAATTTAAATAGGGAGACTACTCTATATGGCTTTACTTTTCTTTGATTCTACAGTGAACTGTCAGAATAACAGGTTTTGGTCAAGAAGAAAGATGATTCATCCTCTAAAATAAAAACATTAATCTGATAGTCAAGACAGCTGCTGTCAGTAAGTCTGTTTGAAAGGTTTTTAATTTTGACCTTTTCTTTCCTTTTTCTTAAAACATTGGACTTCAACGCAGAAACTTACCATATAGAAATGACTCCAGATCTTTCCCAGTTCTAGTAAAATGCTTTCCGAGTTACTACATTAATATCTATGTTTCTTCTTTCAAGGCAAAAGTAGTAAAGAGCAATCAGAACCAAAAGGGAGAGAAAAGACTAAAATACTAAACTCATTTATAAATTTGCCATGTGTGTAAATGTTTGCTTTATGCTACAAGAGACCGTTCCATGTTTCCATGTAGTAAATATAAATGTAAGATTACGTTGCTAACTTTAAAACAAAAGACACAAATATGTGTAAAGAACTTGGTATTACTATGCCAGTGTCTAAGAAGGGAGAACTGTTACTTTTACCCAAATTTTGAGCAGTGAAAATGATTTTCCACCCTTGCCCAAAGCTGGATCATCACCTTAGTATTTTTTTTTGCCCTAGTGAATTTGAACTTAATTAACACCTAAATGTAGATAATGTTAAGCAAGGAAATTGTAGGCTTCTGGACCAAGGAACACTTTCAGAGCACCACACACCTAACAGTGGTGGTAAGTACCTTGCAAAGAAATTAAGAGCTACGGTAAAAAGCATAAATGAGACCATACAAAAGTGCATTTCTATGGTTAAGAGTTGGACCTTACTGTACCCAAACCGGGTCCTCAACAAGTTGTCTCATGTGGCTAGGTTAAGTATTTTTGGTTTCTGTTCAATCCTGTGTATACCAAATTATTTGAAATACAAATATTTGATATCTAATATGATATCAAATGAAAGTGTCCCTGAGTAGTAGCCTTCAAAAACAAGATTCTTCTGTAGTTGCCATTATCTAACCTTCCTCAGATAAGAGGTGAACTTTTGGTTTATTTCAGATTTCAGCATTTGAAATGATTTCTTTCTTTCCCATTCAGTTGCTTATTATTTTTTGTTTTTAACTGATACAATTTTACATCCTAAGTTTGAAGAATTTTTCTTCAGAATGCAGCCTTGTATACTCTAATGTTAAAAGAGAGATGAACTGAATTAAGTCTAGAGTTAAATTACGTGAGTTTATCCGAGCTGTCAGACTTTGGAGTCTAGTGTTTGCTGATTGATTCCTTGCCTCATTAACATCCATGGCAACATTTTCATTGACGCATAGGCTGCGTGAGAATCAAGGGTTTATTTTGGTCCTTACTAGGTCATGTTCATACTTTCTGCATTCATCCCTTAGCACTAAATTCTGCATGGGCTTATTGAGGCTGTACAGTTCATCTTATTACCAATAAAAATATAATATTCTCTTTCTGCTTTTTTCTAGGTCCATGTATTTTCACATGCACATTCTAAGCATCCTGGTGTTGCTCGTGTTACCAATCAGACCTCAAGCCCGGTCCGTAAGAAAGCCTCAAAATGAGGCCATACAGAACTCTGTTAAAAGCAAAGACAAATGATATCTCCAAAATTGCCGATGCTGGGAAACAGTCATATTGGAAACAAAGAAGAAAAAAGGGAGCAATGGGAGTAGAAGTACAAGACAAGTGGCATTTCTATCGGTTATCTTAAAATCTTATTGGATAGGGCAGTTAAGAGCCTGAAAGACTGCATTTCAAATGACTACGGTTAACAGAGATTTACAGGCTATGTTTACAGGCTCATGGGGCATTTTGATTTTTTTAATAAATATTTTTATGAAGTGTTTTTATATATTTAAACTTTTTCACATGGAGAGGCATTTTTGCCCTTTTACAGAAATATACAATTATTAATCAAAGAATCTGGTGATTAAAGGGACAGGAAGCAGCAAGCAAAGAGCTAGATCAGCTGCCTGATAGTCTGGTGCTGTGGGTGGCTGGCAGGAGGGTTTTTTGTATCTTGGTTGAGGAGAGAGATGGTATGAGTAGAAAACCATAGAAAAGAGGTTGCTCAACATGCTGGTGCTGCCTTCTGCCTGCTTTGTGCACAGGGTTTTCCCCAGCAAACCCCAGAGCAGGGACTGCAGCCTGAGCTTGGCAGCAAAGGTATTTCACATTCCTCGGAGTTGCATTTGCTGGTATGAGGGCAAGACAAGTCCCTTGGGAATAGGTGTCTGGAAACACTGTCAACTGCCTTGGCCAAAAGCTAAAGCCAAGTAAAAGCAAAACAAAAGGGGAGAAGAAAAAAATAGTAAAAGAAGGGATGTACACCCTGTGGTCTGTAGACCTGTGCTTCTGTAATGATACAGTGCTTATTGCTGCATCAGCCTTACTTTGCAGTTTTAGAGTGATGCAGCACTTCCATCCCAGTATGAAAATAACTGAGGAGCAATGCAGGTTTAGAGTGTTAAAGGTCACGGTTATGAGTTAAATCTGAAAAAGGTTTGTAATGCATCAGACTTTTTGTTACTCCAAAGCATCCTATCTTGTGAAGGGATAACTTTCCAGCAGGATAACACTAAAATGAAACCTGAACAGTAATTATGATAGCCATAATAAATAATTCTGTACAAAATAAAGATTGTGATGGGCTATGAACACAAAAGTCACAACTGAGTCCTTGTGCAATCTTGACTGGTGATTTAGTCTTTCAATGCAAGTTTTTCTGCTTGTAAAGTCCCTAGCTTACAGGGATGTTGGGAGTTTTAATTTCTAAGGACTTGTAGTATTTTGAGATAACTTGCTGCAAAGTACTGTGTTGTTAAAAAAAAATATATTGTTTATTTGTTTTAATCCACTTACCCCAGGAAAATAGACAGATGGGACACATCAACAAAACTAAATAATTAAAAACAAAAAACTCTCACCCTTCTCCAGGAATGTTTTTCTCAGGATTTTGTAGCAGCAATTCTCTTGTTAAGGTACTGGTATTTTTTGATTCTGTAACTGATGTGTGATTGAGCAAAGAATCTGCTGTTTACTGCACTCTGATTTTCATGTCAGATAAAATTTTGCAGAATCCTAATGTTTTGGGAGGAAAAAAATCAGCAAAACCAAAACAAGTTTAAAAAATGTTTGATTTTATTTTCTGTGGTGGGAAGACTTTGTCCTGTGACCACCTCATGATTTAGAGTATTGCTCATGGAAGAGTTTATTTGGTAATTTATTTTGAAGGCAAGATGGGATTAAAAGATTGTTCTGAATAAACAAACCGCTCTGCGTCACTGCCTGGCATTATTAATGAAAGTCAAATGTGAAAATGGGTGAATGAATCTGCACCTCATGGAAAAGGAGCTGTTTAGGTCTGCTAGATTTTATGGGATAGATGTGCTTTAGACCATGCTCCTGTTGAAAGAAAGACAAGAAAACACCCATGCGTGTCTGTGAAAGAAGGACCTGTCCCTAACTTGGCCTGTCTTCGGTTTGTCCCTGTGTGTTTTTTTCTTCCTTGATGTACCTGAGTTGCATCTTAGGCACCTAACAATTAATTCGGAGAGTGTCTGTGAGAGCTGTGTTGCCCACTGGAGCTGTTCCCATCCCACTGGGCTAGATCAAACCTTGGCTGCTCCTTGGGTGAGAAAGGAGATTAAAAGCATTGGCAAAACTCCCTTGGATGCTGGCATATTCATATACTCCAGTCTTCAGCAAGTCTGCAGAAGGCAAACATTTCCATCAGGTCAGCTTTTTAGCACCTGCACTGGGAAATAAATGTACTTTAAGGGGTTGCTGGTTTGTATCTGGTGCAGATCACCCTGTGATCTGTATGTACAGTGCTCATGCCCTGGCCTGCAACCTCTCCTGAGCTGAGTGCCTAGGGAAGGCCAGGCACTGCCAGTGGGGCATCTTCTGCAGGGTTTCATGAGAGGTGAAGTTGCTGACTCTAATGCCACCTACTTCTGCTGCAGGTTTCAGCTTCTACAGCGTGATGAAGCCAGGGTTAGGGAGCAAACCCTTATTCTCCCATAAGGTTGTGTTCTCAGTCTGCAACTGCCTGAAAACAGGAGCCTTGGGCTTCAAGGAGAACTGTTAGTGTGGGTTTTATGTGATATGCTAAATGAATTAAAATTGATTTTTATTTATTTATTTATTTATTTTTTGGAACATTACATCTCAAGGAAACTTGCTAGTCGGGCTAATCTTAAAGCTGAAAGAAATGATCTAAAATCTTTGCTGTACTTTGTTTTTGGAGACTAGGCAGCTTACGTAGACAAATCAGTCTTGCAAAAGTAACACTGATTTAAATTACTGTAAAAAAAAAAAAAAAGCTATCAGGAACTATTAGGCTATTTGGAACTATCTTTCTAAATCCACTGCGCTGAATCTCCCTGTCCTTGTTATCTCTCAGAGGAAGAAGCTTCTGCCTTATAGAAACACTGTAAATGGACACTACTAGTTAGAGGAGACTCCTCATTTACTAACAGTAACTTACCCTAAGAGCCAAAGTAGAAATTCAGGTTATGGATGTGTGTTGTTGGGATCCCATGTACTGGCCTGGCATTACTGGTCTCTACTTGGAATACCGTGAATACTTTGAAGGTGTGTTTCAGCAACTGAAAGACAGGATTGTGATTACCAATATGATGTTCGTTTCTAATCATGCTCTGGGTTTCTGGTGCTGCAAAAACCTGGGGAGCTGTGATCACAGAGAGACAAAACCAATCCTGATGTTTTATAAGAGACAAATACGGCACCATCAGACAGAAATGAAAAATGCAGATTGTATTACATTTCTTTTCTTATAAAGTTTCTATTTTAGATACAGGAATATAAAAATTAGACAACCTCCACACTCTTTGGACTGAAGACGAATTCCAGCTGTTATTTTTCAACATATTTGACAGCATTAAAACTGAACTAGAAATTGAGGTCCACTTGGGTGAGAGGTCTGAGTGAAGAATAAAGCTTTTCAGCTTAGCTCTGGGGCTGGTATTTAAAGAAGCAAAAACTCAGCAACTTCCTTGGTGGGCTGGGAGCACAAAGCACTTTCCGCTACTGTCGTGTAAGCTGCCCCCCTCCCTGAGTACATTCCTGCATGTCCCCGTGGAGCATGCCAAGCAAAGGAGGCAGTACAAACGTGGGATACGAGGTAGGCAGATATTTTTCCTTGCTTTCTGGCTGCCCTGCATGTATATGTAGCACATAGTTGGGATTTTTGCATTGCTTGAAATGAGGTAGGTGGGTAAGAAGGCCGTGGATTTTTACCCCATTGGTAGGGGTATTGGTAGGATCTGTGAACCTGCACTTACCTCTCTGTACATGCAAAAGCAGGCTTAGCAAACTAGATCTAGCTCTAGTCTTTAGCACCTCGCCAGCCTGCTGCTCCCTTTCTTCGCAGAGACGACAGTAATGATGTGCATGAAGCATCTGGATTTGCTCCTGGGTGGAAGCTGCAGCCTGCCGCCGGAGTGCTGGTGTGACACGAAGTGGGAATGCATCTGCTCGGTTACGTTTACAGCTAGTGCCCTCTGTGGGCGAGCAGGCTTTCAGTGCAGGTTCAAGCGCGCCCGGCTGGGTGGTTTTGCAGCAGTACAGCCAGGCTAGCTGCGGGGAGATGCTGCTTTTCAGCTGTGCCACAACGAATGGGCTCTGCTTTGGACCCAGAAAGAAAAGACATAGTTAGAAGGAAAAAAAAAAATAATACTACAGGAGGAAATGCTGCCTTATTAGGAGCAAAGATGCTTAAAAACTTGGGTTACTCTCTTTCACCTGACTTAATTATTGCCTGTGGAAGGGAACCACAAGGTGGGGGAAAAACAGTTCTGAGAAGTGCCCCGAGGCTGCCCTCAAGACCTCATTTACTATCCATTCACAGAGCAGCTCCGAAAGTGAGACCCAAGGCTTGCCTGGAGGCTTTTCTGCTGTAGCGTGGTTCCCTGCACATCTGGATTAGGAGCGCTGCAGCTTGCCTGGGAGGGCCTGGCATGAATGGTGGCAGCAGGTCTGGGAGCATTTTCAGATCATTGCTGGATGCAGCACGAGACCACCGTGCCCTGCGGTATTGGGAAAAGAGCTTGGGGCACACTAAGGCTAAGCCAGCCACTGTGGGACAGGGTGGAGGGAAACACGGCCAGCACCCCGACACGCTGAGCATCCCTTGCCCTGTCCAGTGGTGGAAGCTGGTGCCCCTCTTCTTCAGGAATGTTTTAACTTGGTGACGTTGTCACTGCTTTCACACTGTGGATTTCCTCTTTGTTCATAATGGTGCCTATTTATTCCTGCCTTGGTGGCTTCAATATTAGCATGCTTTGTTTGCTTTCATTTTTTTTGTTTTTGTTTCAGGAAGACTGATGGTTTATATTTGATCAGGCAAGATAGACAATTTAGGGCTAACTCAAAAGATCTGCTGAATAACGTGAATACTTTTTAAGTGTACTAATTTGTTTACCTTTCTCTGTCTCTGAAGCATTCTTTTTTCATTCTGTTACTCTTAAATGACACCTCCCAATGCACAGCAGGTGGCGCAGTTTTTGCTTAGAGATGATTTTTTATAGACTGAGTCACATAAACACTAAGCTCTCTTCTTGGGGCTGAGTGCCCACTGGCACAAGGAAGCGGACACAAGGCGAGGAGATGCATCCACCACTGAATTTGGAGCACCTGTGTCTCTCTGCTCCCGCCACGTGCACCTCTGTACCGTGGTCACCTCGATGTCACCTTGAGTCACCACTGAGTCACCTCGATGCTTCCCCCCTGCCCTCCCAAGTTTTGGGTCAATCCCACTCCTCCAAGACTCTACCTCTGCCTGCTCTTTCTTCAGAAAGTGCCCCCTGTGAGTTAATTTAAATGCAGCAAGTAGCCCACCCTCATACTTGCTGTGCAGTGCCAAGCTACTTGGGTATGTGGAATGAGGGACAATCCTCAGTGAGGACAATGGGGAGCAGAAAGACAGATGCCTTTAGGAGGCAGACAGCAGAAATAACAGGGGAGGTGGGAACTGGAAGTGCAGAGAGGTTGTGACAAGGGACAGTGAGCAGGGAGCTTCTCCCCTGACATGTTTTTGTCACAATGGGAAAGGGAGTGCCCTGCTCCCCTCTCCCCTTCCTGCCCGGGGGTTAGGTGGGCACGGAGGATGGTGCTGGGAACTGCCTGCAGGAGAGCAAGTGGCATTATCTCAGGCTTTCCCAGCTGCCTTTTGTGGAGGGGTTTTGTTTGCAGACAGCCACATGGTCCCAGTGGCGTGCTATTGGCCTGCTTCAATTAGACGTCTTGACTGATGGCCAGTTTAATGAGCCTGTGTACAGAGGGTCATTCAACATGGCAATTATACCTATAAATCTATTTGCAGCAGGGCTCAAATAACCTTTTGCGCACAGTTCTTCATAAAATGACTGTCTGATTAATTAACATTAATTTATCCACTGTATGGAACCAGATGCAGTCTGTATGAAAGCCTCTGCTCTGATGTACAGGCACTGTGTGAACTGGGAGGATTTGGGGATGGGAATGGCTCTGATGTTGTTTCAAGCCTCTCTTTTACAATTTTTTTCTTCTCTTTCTTCCTCTCTCTCTCTCTTTGGTCCCAGTTGATTAACATTCCAGGGCAGCATCATATAACAGGGGGCAAAATTCAATTAATTGAATATGAAATATTTATAACCCTACTCTATGTGTCTATCAGAGAAAGGTCCTTAATAGATCTTCTCATTAGCATGGACTGGTGACTCACTTCTCTGCTTTCACAGTCATTTGGAATTAAAATCCAATTAATCTAATGTCCCTGTGAATATTATTAAACTATTTGAAAAACTGCATTGAAGAGATATGAGGTGGGGGGTGAGGGGCTAAGAGAAGAAGAGGGAATATGTCTCAAGCTCATGAAGATTCATTTCTTCTCTGCTAAACACATAGTCTGGAAAGACTAATTCCCTGTTTTCTGGAAAGTGAATAGCTAATTCTTAATACCAAAAGTCTGAGAATGGAGAAATAACTTGTTTCCTACTGTCACTGTGAAGAGCTCTGTCATTTCTGACCAGGCCAAGAAATGTCCTTCCCTCCTCCTGCCTTTCATGTCGCTCCTAGCTCTTACCCTGAAGCGATGGACAGGACCTTACAAAAGATATTCAGGCACTGTGCGGTAATTCTGGGGGCTCATTCCCAGCTCTCCAGCATCATTCAGCTGCCCTAGGGCTGGCTTTGTGGCCAAAGACCCCCAGTGTCCACATGGGGGATGAGCAGCGTGCCTTCCCATGGGGAGAGACCACCCCTGCCTGGA